CCACCTCCTCATGCTCCCTGTCCCTCTCTCCCACTAGCTGCACAGGTCAGGTGCTCACAAGTGTCGAGGAGCCTCCAGAGGAGCCTCGGGCATGTGGCGGGAGGAGAAGGAAAAGTCATCAGGAGAGCAACAGGAAGTCTCCCAGTGCAAAGCCTGGACCTGTGCCTATCACACAAAAAGCAAGGCCCATCTTGCTGACGTCCTTCTGACTCGACCTCATTCACCTCCCGCAAGTGAGCGAACCTCCACCAGTGCCGAGGGGCCTACTCCAGGCTCAAATTGGCAGCCCTGTCACGGTAGTCACGACACCAGTGATTTCCTACTTCTGGAGATGCCGGAATGTTGGTGGGAAGATTTCACAGTCGCTCTTTGTGCAGCCCTCACCACTACCCAAGTGAAGGTGGGGCTGGGTTTACCCCACATGCTGGCTGAGAAAACCCACTCAAGAGGCACAGGCTGGTGAGCGGGAAGGTGGGGTGGGCCCCAGGCCCTGTGTCTCCGTTCAGCACACCTGCCTTCCACCGGGCTGCAGACCGCTTTCCAATTTTAATAATCCTCTTTGAAAGAGGTGGGGAGGGTCTTTATAGGGCTTGGACCTCCCCAACTAACACACCATACATTTGAAATTAGGTATCAGTCAACTGAGACAGCAAGACAGTTCAGGAGAGGCATTTTTAGGCCAGTTGAACCAAAATGAAGTCTGTACACAGACCAGGCAATTTAGAGTGAGACCCCAAGAACTCAGGAGAAAGACGATGGGACAGCCGGAGGCCATTAGCGATGTTAGAGAACAGCCCACCATATCCCTTATGGTATACAGATAAACCAAAGCTCAAAGAAGTAAAAATACTGGTCCAAGGTCACACAGATTGGTGCCAGGGACCCTGATCCTAAACACCATTCTTGTCCTGGCTGGACCACTCTGTTGCCTCCTTTGGCACCCAGGATGCTAAGCAGGCTCCAGGCCAGGATCTGCCGCCGCCCAACTGGGTGCCTAGAGAAAGCTCCCTGATGGCCTCTGACCACCTGGCATACCTGCAGCACAGGAAAGGACAACACCCGGCTTAGGGCCACACCCCTCAGTGAGGTATGCAGGCGCGCTGGTGTGCAATCCCCACCTCTCCCTCAGGTGGGAAATGACTCTAAGACCTCACTCTGGAAGATTCCGGTGTCCTTCTCCTGGAGGCATGACCTTGCAGTAACCTGCTCAATGTCTCCTACCCCACCAGACGGAGGCAGGGACTGTGCCCTAGTACGTCCCTCTCCCACTCGGGGCCTGGCACGTGCTAGAAGGTGAGGAATACCCCTGTGACCGTGACCATAAGCAGCTATCTGGGCAAACAAGAGGAAGCAGGATCCCAGGATGTGCAACATCACAGGCAGCTTGTGAACAAGAGGCTGTGAGCAGCAAATGGCAGGTTCTCCTGGTGACGTGCCCGTCTGTCATTTACAATCACAGACCCTAAGCTCTCATCTGTAAATGGGAGACGGTCGGTCAGCTGGTATCCTGACCCATTTGGGTCACACACCCCTTGGACAATCTGATGCATGTTACTGGCCCTCTCTGTCGACTACAATGCGCACATGGAGTTACATGCAGTTATAGGGGCTATAACCTCTGGACCGAGACAGAGCCAGCTCTAGGACTCCTGGCCCAAAAGACATAGGACAGGGCCTGTGGGGCACTGGGTGGAATGGAGAAATTCCAGATAGGTGGTGCTAGGGTCGGGGGTGTTGTGAGGGAAAAGGAGAAGATGTGGCACAAGAATAACTGACAATACTTTTTAAGGGCCAACGTGACGTGTGAGGACGAGATGGAATGGGGAATTCAAAGCTCTTTTCTCTACCTCCTGAAATCCTGGTCCTATCTGAAGCCAAAGCTCAGGTGCCACCTCTTCCACGCAGTCCTCTACCTTACTCCTTCTTCACTGTGTTTTCTACATTGCTAGTTCAGCAGACGGCTTAAATGTGCACCTGGGAAGGGCAGGGTCAATGTCTCATCTCAGAACAGCTGGCCACTCCCTAGTGGTGTGCTGTTATTCATTTCTGAATCTCCCACACATCACCTTGAGTGTGGTAGTAAGATAACTGGTGAATAATCACAAAAGCTCTATTTTCTGGGCATATTTTCAGCATGTTTGATATTGTGAAATTCTGGTTCTAACAAAGCAATTTGATAGTGACCTTGATATTTGTTGTGATAGGATGTGAAACCATTTCCAAGCCCTGGACACACAGACACAAGAGCTCTTAGCTATTAAGTGAAAAGAGCTGGTCAAGTCGGTCACGTTGATGTTACCATGGAAACTTTTGGGCTAGAGAATCTTTGCTCCATAACGTCCCTTCACACTAACTCTAGCACTGCCTGGTTGGTGTCTCTGGTTCGGTTAACCAGCCCCTGACATGCACAGCCCCACTCTTCACTCAGTTTCTTCGGCAGTAAGAGGTGCCAAGTTAGGGAGATACATTCCCCACACCAGGTTCAAGACAGGGAGCCCCCACTGACCAGCTTGGGGCACAGGAAACACACAATGGCAAGAGGAAGGGGAAAATCTCCACCCTTTTCCAGGCTGCAGGAGCAGCAAGAAGCTCCCTTCCTCAGCCCTGAAAGCAGGCAGACGCTGTTGTAGGAAGGGCAGCTGATTCCCTATCAATAACACCTCCCTCTTCTGCCCCCCACCCCTCTCCAAAACCAAAAAGATGCTAAGTCAGCAATTCCCGCAGAAACAATGGGATTTTGTTCGGCGCCACAACCCTACAGGCCTCTAGATGGCGCCAAGTCAAGACAAATGCTGACAGGAATCCCCCAGCTCCTAGCAAGCTGGGTACCAGCCTACATCTCCTTCCCAACTTCCGCCCAGAGACAAGCCCAGGTGGAAAGAAAGCTGGCTCTGGATGGAGATTTCCAATGCGTTTCACCTCTGGAGATGTGATTGCTGCGAGGACCTCTATGTGGCCAGCAAGATCAGAGCAGAAGCTGGCACCTGTCCCCACC